CATCTGATAGACCATCAGGATAAGATGTCTACTTAATACCGATGATAATTTACCATGTCATTCCTTGCCATCCACCACTTCCATAGAATACAGTGCTGCAAGTGATTACCACCACACAACATAACTACCACTACCGACCAACCAGTACGACACTCATATCTAGCCCATACCACCCTTTGGGTGGGAATACCAATATGCCAAGTCCAAATGATCATAGGGTCCGGTCATCCTTAGGATGGAATACGCTATATTGGAATACCAACATGTCGAATTAGTTCAACCATCGTGTTGAAACTCTGATGGTTTGTTGGCCTACCATCTTAACCCTACCACTCCTCCTGAGCCTTCGTGCCTACGAATTTCAATCGGACCGCATCGGGTATCTTGGCCCACTGAATAGAGCAGGACCACCTCAACCCTATCCACATATAATGTGTCGCCATAGATGATCAGGAGAAAGATCTAACCCGAACGCGCTCCTACAAAAGACATAATCAACACAATCTCTATGCCCACATCCAATGACTGTATTACCCTGACATGGTCCTTAGCATAGGTATGGATTGCCTCTGAGCCCACAACACGAGTCTGGTATGCCCACTCCGGCCCTCAGATCATGATTGGAATGCTCCCGATAACCTATCGACACTATTGTCACCACTTTAGTTGTCCCAACGCTTCATCCTGGAGATTGTCACATCCTCTATTGCCAAAAAGGTCCTAATCAATGTCCTTCACACACCAACAAGCGTTACAATACTGAAACCTCACTCCACACTATCCACTTGTAGAAAAAGTTGCTACCCCATAACACATATATATACTGAAAACCTGATCATATAGCTAACAAAACCCACACAATTTCCTCAGCATGCTCCATCAGCATGTTCAATACTTAGGGATAGACCTACTGATTGCTATAGCATAGCATCATACTCAATACCCACACATAGATCTACAAACACATATAGAGTCTTCAACATGACTGTTCTCACCCACTTGGGGTTCAAAACTCCTGATCCATTCTGTGGACTCTAAATCCCGACCTAAACTTAGGCCTCATGTCGATCGTCCACCCTCTCGGAAATCTGTGTTCTGTTCCCTGAATCGTGTGTCTACCACATGTGCTAAAAAACCGCACACCTGTGCTGAAACTACTATCAAGCCCTGGCAGCCAACAAAACACTTAATCTATTAATCCAAAAACCCTCAGAGTTGAGCACACCCTCGACCGAATACTCGAACTGAACTCAATTCATGACTAGAATTCTAACCTCGTTCCTCGACTTCTTCTATCAAGCACCAAGAAGATGTGATACACATGCTAGGGAGTTTTACCAAACTCCCAACTCACACAACCCTCAAACCAAACAACCACCTAGGTTGTTTTCCTTCCTGACAACGATGCGAGACTTATCCCATTTTCAACACTGCTCTTTCTTCTGTATCCCAGGACGATTCTCCCCCACTTAGATTTGACTAAGTCTTCACAATACATGATAATTTGGAGAATTCCCGATCCTTCTCACTTTCCGACGGTCTTTCCGTTGACAGCCATCTCTTCCCAACTAGTGCTCTGTTACTAGCTAATACCAATGATCACACACTTCTTAAGAACTGGATGAACACTTCCTGAATACCAGTGAAAATGATAGTCACTAATGCTTGGATGACCCCACACTCATGTCTTGAAGACCAAAAGATAAATGCTCCAACTAATACCTCGGCGGCGAACTACTTCCCTTGGCGCTTTCGTTCATCAATCAGTAAAGGTTGTTGAAATCACTGAACTATGACAATGCTGGATAACCCTTCTGTGGGACCCTATCCGCACACCTCCCACATAATACCCCTTTTCCCAAAGGTGCTCCAAGCAAGTTTCCCGCTCTCGGGCTCTAGAAATCATTCTATTCAAGGTTTGTACCCTAACTCACTTACCCGTTGAAATGTCCACAACTGAACTGCAATAGCTAAAGCAACCTCTGCCCTAAACTGGGTTACAAACTACTCCCAAGACATAGTATACAATCCTAAAAGTGCATTAGATCACAAAATCATTCCTTACCGCCCCATACAAGATATCCAAGGCAAACCGGACATCACAAAATAATTATACCACACCAACCCACCTGTGCGCAATGGCATTGAAATAATATCACCAATCCCTGCAACCAGCTGACCCCGAGCTGGAATACAACCTAATCTTGGGGTCACAAGCTTGCTCACTCCTTCGAGCTCGAAAACTGAAAGGGCACAATCCTTGCCCTATAAATCGACAGTCCAATCTATCAATTAACCATTCCACTTCCAGCTGCAAAACCGCAGCTGAACATAATCATCACCCATTTCCGAAGTCCCCACAACTCACATTCCGGCCTCAAGCAAACCCCCGAGCTGAGCCTCAAATCGAGAAACTTATGTACCAGCCTTTCCCGCTCAACCCGCAGAGCACAACGAGTATAGAACATCTCCCTGATCTCAAGTAGTTGCAGTCGTCTGGTCAACATAATATGTCCCAACAATAAGTACCGATATTAGAAAGCTCAACCAGCTCCTCCCCCTGCCATCGTTACAGCTGTTGTGGCAGCCGTCTCAGCAAGGGCTGCATAACGCTCGCAGAAATACTTAACCATGGAGGTCTTAATAGACCTGAACATCCTCGACAACTGTCCCTGGGCAATCTCGATCACCTCCTCCCGGATGATCTCACTAACACGATCCTCTAACAATACTCGCCTATCCTGGCTTCCAGCTTCCGATCCAATCCCGGATTCGGTCTCAAGACATCTCATAACCACCATTCTAGTAAGACACCATAATATCTATGATAATCCATATAATGACAGAGGACCAACTCCGTACCCAACCCTAGGGGTTGTGACTTCCTTGATACGCGTACGACTCCTATGCTTTTAGTAGTAGGGACCCATACCTACCCATATTTGTCTCAAGTATCATCACAACTCCCTAAAAATATACATAATCATAGCGATCGCTCAATCCTTACTCCTAGAGGAATGCTAAAATACCTCATAACTGGCCTTCTGGCCTCATACAACCCACCCATCCATGAAACTTCCACCAACCCCGCAGCACTAATGTATGCTAGCCAAATATAACACTGGGCTCTATATACTTTCAAATATCTGATCCCACCCTAAGCCCCTAATCAACAAGAACAAAACATAAGGCCAAATCAAACATTCTTAGTCTATAACATCTTAATTATGTACAATCGTGATACATACACAAGCAACTACAGTAATGATGTCGATCTCATATAATGAAACACCTACGCTAGTAGACATCATGTAGTCATGCAATTCCTGAAGATCCCTATCCTAGTACTAACATGTTGTTCTAACATATCACATAGTCAAATAACTGCATGGTATTTTGGGGTCTACTTACTGGCTTAGGCTGATCGTACACTTCACATCCTCCTGTCTTATTTTGAAAAACATTTAAAATCATTTTGAAAACATTTTCCTTAGTTTGAGACTGGATTCACACAAGTGTTCCTCTAATTCACTCAAACCAAGGCTCCGATACCAACTTGTAACATCCATAATATTCGAGCCAGTTTAAAACTTTTTAAATCATTTAAAACCATTCAGTTATTACAATTTGTTTTCAAAATAGTTTAAACATCAAAGTTCCCAGAAATTATAATCATCAATCGAGGAAGTGTAAGGTCACGCCTTCGCCTTCCCGCGGTCATCCGTTGAACCTGAAACAATAAACTAAAACAGTAAGCTCGAAGGCTTAGTGAGTTACCCCCAAAATACCAACGCCATACTGATATATCCATAACATATAACATATAAGTAAATAGAACAACTATGCATCTTGAGTCTACAGTGTGATTGGTATGCCCGCACTGGGTCTTCAGTCGACCTGGTCCACTCTTTGTGTCTACAGTATGCATAATGAGCCTTCAACCTGAATGGGCTGCCTCGCATGCCTTCAGTCTATCTGGACAGCTCTCCGAGCCTTCAACACGTCTGGACTGCCTCTCAGGGCCTTCAGCCTATCCGGACTGCTTGTTGGGCCTTTGGTCTGACTATCATACCCTTTCGGGTTTGTAGTCTATCCGGTCCGTCTTGGGTATGTTCTCCTTCAACACAAAGCTGGACCGCCTCAACCCATCCAAAACCAAAACAACAATGTCACTACTAGAAAAATAGCCTTTTACGACGCTCATTGCGCGTTGTAAAAGGCTCAGACGACACGCAAATGCGCATCAAGGAAGGCCCTGTCATAAAGAGAGACGATGCGCATTTACGACGCTCATTTACGACGCGCTTTTACGACACGCATTGCGTATCAAGAAAGGCCATGTCATAAAGGAAGACGACACGCATTCGTGTGTCGTAACCTTACGACGCGCGTGTTAATGATACGCAATGCGTATCAAGAAAGCCATTGTCAAGAAAGGCCATGTCATAAATGAAGATGACACACATTTTTGCGTATCATAATTTTAAATGTTTAAAAAAAATATTATTTATAGATTTACTAATTTTCAAATTAAATAATACATTAAAAATCTCATAATACAAAATAAAATACCATAAATAACAAAGATATTTCATTTCACTAATATGTCAAATACAAATAATTATTCCAAAAGTGAGTAAATGTTATAAAAAATGAACTCATTTATATACAATTGCATCATCACGACTAATCGGTTTTATAATCTCAAAGTCATCAACGGAAGTGCAGTCCTTATTTCCGGAATGTATAGGGCTGGTTCTCAAGCTCCGTACCACATCATCCTCCAATGGAGCATCTTCATCGATAACCGTGCTTGCGATGTCAACTTTTTCATCATCAACCATCTCACAAATCTGCAAATACTTCTCCCTGCTTGTAACAACTAATAATTAACATTTATGATTTATGATTTATGATTTATGATTTATGATTTATGATTTATGATTTATGATTTAACAAACACACACCTCATGAAAAACATGTTTATTATAAAAATGTTATCACCGAATAAGATTCTCTATGCGTGCTCCAAATGTCTCAACGGTCAGGGCATCAAAATTTCTCCGGTCGATCACGACTCTTACGTCATCAAGACACGTCAGTAGATACGACAAAGATCGGTCATCATCCAATGGCGTATTGCCAACACATCGAGCAATATCAGCAAGCTCATTCATCTACAAATATTTCAATATCAGTACCTATATCTCATAACAAATAAGAACCTATTACCTACCTGTGGAAGGTCATCATGTTCATAATAGGCACCCTTCCCTGCGAATAACAAGTCTATCTGGCTGGTTTTTGGTGTCATCAATGGCGACCTAGGAGTCATGCTGCCAGCAGATGATGTGGTCATTCCTTGGTCAGATTTAGGACCAAAGTGGGTCCTACATGACAGAGAGGGGTGAGCTTTAAGATCATCCATTGATACAGAATTATCGCCTTGATCAAGAAAACAATCAAGCATGTCTTCTGAACCTCTACGTGACCAATCACTAAGCTTAGGAGACATGAAATCACAGTCTTTGGTAACACTTGAGCTTGCTTTAGCAGCATCTGGACTTCTATTATCCTTTTGTGAAATCAACTCCATTAACTTCTGTAGGGTTTCAGCAACCCTTACAAGCCTTTAATCTACACTTATACCTGTCTAATCACAACAATCAGCAATCACACAAATTCTAGAATGTTCTTCCACGTGAAAAGTCAGAACCTCCTCTTCACAAATCCGAAAAATGATGGAAGTTTCATCGGAAATTTAAAATGAGAATTCATAAATGGTGTAACGTGTAAGTAAATGTATTTACTTTTGTCCTATCAGATGTCATGTGAAGTAGAATCGAAAGTTTGTAGTGAGATCAATCTGTATTAAAAGCTTTAACATCCACTCTTTGCTATGAGAGGAAAAAGAATAGACATTACCATTAGTTAAATAGATTTTTGAGTGAGAAGGTGACAAAATTATTTAAAGAATAAAATATGTGAACCTTCTTTTCGAGCTCAAGAAGTGATAGTCCAGCACTAAAAACATCAAAATTCTGAGTGGCAACAGCTATACCCACACGAGGTGAAAGATAGGCATCATTTCGAGAGGAAAACAACATATTTCCCCCTTGTCCCACATAGTCCTGTGGGGAAAACATGTTGGGAGTAGGGGTAGTATGGTCAATTACTTCTAGAACTTGGATGTTCCTCCTTGAGCTAGTTGATTTTGGCTTTAAGAGACTAAAACTACCCCTAAAGCTAAATTTTCCAGATCTGGCAGGTTTTGTAACTGATAAGGGATCTGCATCTGCACTCTCTGAAGGGTTGATTTCTACCACTTGATATGTAAGGGGGATAGAACAGTTATTACTTATCCATTATGGGTAAAAAATCATATGATGTGAAAAAGACGAGTCCTTCAGATGAAAGCCTGTATAATCAATAACTTATCAACATGTGAAAGATTAACCTTGCTAATTTCTCACATTTAATCAACAATTGGATTATAGAAGGGACACTTACAACTCTTTCATCTTTGAATCAAATTGAGCCTCATGAAAATAAGATCCTTCATGAACCATAGTCGCCATGACTGCACAAATTGCAGCAATAATCACTCTTAAGCAAAAGAAGCCACGTGAAACATATGTGAGTCTGATTATCATAAGCAAGATACAGTGAGAATACAGGGTTCTTGATTACCAGGTTATAAGAACTCGTAGAACCAAAAACCCTATTTCCCGAAATTTATTTAATTATAAACGACGTGATGGATGTAAGTATAGAACCTTGCTTGTGGTTTAGAGGATGCTTCCGAACAGATCCATCAACAACTTGTGCATTCAACAGAATTTGGGTAACTTCCAATGCCATAAATTTTTCTTGCGAACACTGTTTCACCATAAAAACAGGTTAAGATTATTTAAAACTAAAAACACCAACAACACGTTACAAAAGCAACATAAAATCCATATTTCCAACATTTACAAAGAACTGAATTTGAAATGTATGCAAGTTTTAAAAAATTAGAAAAACAAACGCCAGAGAAAAAAGCCCCAACATTTGTAGAAAAAGCTGGAACAACTATGAAAGTTGTTGCTGCACAAACTAAGGCAATTGCAGGTGATTTGGAAATGAATATATGTTTTATTTTTCATTTTTAAATTGTTTAATCGTTTTTTTACAATGTGAAAGTAACAAACATCTATCATTTTCATGAATTTTTTTTAATTTGCAGATAAGATAAAAAAACTGGGATAATGTTTGGGCTATTGGAACTGGAAAGGTTGCTACCCCGAATCAGGCTCAAGAAGTAAGTAGAAGGGTATTTATGTCTTTTTGGATTGTATTATTGTTGAAAGATTGAAAACCTTCTGAAACAGGGCTTCCAGAAACCCATGAAGACAATTCCTGTAAGGAAGAGACTGGATAACATGAAAAAGAGAGAAAAGACTATGAGAAACAGATATACATACCTTCTGCCTCTTGGGTCTTTCATTTTCCTCTTCCAAACGTGAGATTTTGTTCTCCAGCTCATGTGTGTATAGCCACCAAGGCTTAGGGTTTTCCAAATACATGTTTGTGTACAAAATGAATAAGAATACAATGTTATAAAAATAAGAAATTATTCCAACAACATTAAGATCTAAATAAAAAAGTTATAGAGTGTGCATACTTGTGGTGTTTTCAAGCTCTTTTATCATCTCTTTTTCTTGTAATTCAGCAGCTTTTTGTCCTGCTTTAGCTTATCTTTTCTCTATACGAGCATGAGCTGAAGCTGAAATGGCAGCATCTACCTCTCGTTCTAATGTCTCTACTCTCTGTTCAAGAATCTGCACCCGAAAAAAAGTCATGTGAAAAAGAGGATTTATTAATATATTTTCTCACAATGTTTTTGAAATGAAATACAAAAAGAGCAGTTGATCCCCAATGAATTGAATTCAATCAGAAGTAGAATGACGATGTAGAAATTGCAACTCTTAACTGTTGAATTTCAATCAAACATTGATAAGAAGACTTGATGGATTTGTTATTAGGTCGAATTTTAGCTCAAAAACTGACGGAATCATGTTAATTTCAAACATGCAACACCAACCAAATCAGCCACAGAAACAGATATCGAAAATCATACGAGTTTTCTCTAATTTGAACAGATTATAAGAAATCCAACGATTGAAACTCAAACAATTCAATTGCAATAAGAGGTCATCAACATGTGGATTACCGATTACCATTTACCAATCAAATCATATATCGGCAGAGAAATGTGGTTGAATCTCTTAATTTGACAAGCGAAGTTGTAAAAATTGTTGAAATCAGGTAATAGGAAAAACGGAAACGGAACCTTGATTGTACGGGCTTGTTCGGAGGTTAAGGAGGCTCTGTTTGTGTACAAAATGCCATATGAAGATTGACCAACCCCATTCACGAGAGGTATAGCCACCAGATTCAACCTTTGTGTACTTCTCAAACGCCTCGAAAATTGACCAACCCCATTCACGATATCTGATAATAACATTAAAAAAATTAATATATATCATAAAAAATAATATATATATATATATATATATATATATATAAAATCAAGATTAAAAAAAGTAATAATAATAATAATAGAACATACTTTGAATCTTCTGTGATACGATATAGAACAAACAATGATTCAAGGGTTTCAGGGCGCAAAAGGTTATGGCGATCAGCATGTTTGATGACAATGTCATGAATATACTCTGAACTCTTGTTTCCTCCATCAAGATTTTCCTCAGAGTAGCCCTGATTTGTCAAAAACACTAATATTTATTAAAAAAAAAACCAGTTACATCTGAATAAAAATAAGTCACCACTATAGAAGGATTATAACTCTTAAACCTTTCCCTTCCTTCATATCCAAGAAGCATCGCATACAGGGGCAAAACCGTCAATGCACCAGGGACCCATCATCCTTGTTTTCCTTTTCCTTTGACGAATCTGATTATTTCAGATCAAATTTACCTGTATAGATAATATTTAAAAAAAACATCAAAAGTTTAGTAAGTTATAACTTATAATAATAAATAAAGAGAAAATTGATATAGAATCATGGAATCATACATGAGCAATCTCATGCCCTAGATCTGGATGCCTAGGAGCAATTATGGCAAGAATATTGATGTGCTTTTGCACTAAGGCTCTATGAACTAATACCATTACAAGTTGCTTCAGGAAAGTCAGAATGTAATGTGTGGAGTAGATTACAAGTTGCTTCAGGAAAGTCATAGCTCTCCTTAATCCATCTGCATTGCTCTTCAATACTCAATGTTTCAGGGATGAAATAGAAACCTGACAACACATAGTTATCAAGTATCAAGTATATGTATAAACAAATTAACCACATAACATAACTATAAGAGAATGGAGAAGAAATATCAAGAGAAAAAAAGGGGGGAGAATGGAGAAGAAATATCGAGAGAAAAAAAGAGCGAGAAGTTGTAAAACCCTAAATCTCCTTGACGGGGTGGAACAACAAAGATATATTGTGATTTATTTTTGGATGAGGCACTACCAACTTTACCTTAGATGATGCTTGAATCGTACCTTTCTAGGGCTTCATTAGTTCATAGATGGCGATAGGGAGAAGTTGTAAAACCCTTAATCTCCTTGTAAGTCTGACACAAGCACAATGTAACAAGCCCTAAATCGTAGTCTTGTGAGCGTGAGGACCCGAAAGTGGTTGGCTCTTAAACAAATGCTTGTCAACTTGAACAGTCGTTACAGTCTCGGTGAGGTGAGGTGAGCTCGAGGTTGCCGACAGGAAGAGGTGAGCGGTGGTCGCCAGTGGGAGGGGGTGAGTGGAGATGAGCAGAAGTGAGCAGATGTAGTAAATAGAGATCAACATTTTAAAAAAACCCTAGATCCCCTGCGACTTTGTTATAAGAAGCGCGTTCATTTTTAAGAATTATAAAGTGACATGCCTGCACGACGCACCTTTTTAATGGGTGCCCTCCGTGTTTTTTTTTTTTTTTTTAAATTATAAAGCGACATGCCTGCACGTCACGCCTTTTATAATGGGTGCCCTCCGAGTTTTTTTTCTAACACTAATTTTAGGTCACAGAAAAATGCGCGTTCTAAATCCTTCATATTTTTTGGGATATGACATTATTTTTAGGGTACACACTTTTGCGTATCGTAAATCACCGCGTGTCATTGTTCGTGCATCATTAAAGGCCAATATTCTAGTAGTGTGTGTACATATAACAGATAATCACATAACAATTTATAGACAACAAACCGATCTGATAGATCAATAGCATGGCAACATCCTATAACCAGGATACCAACCTAAGCAGTCACTAACATAGCATTATCATATATACCAGGATACCGACCTAAACCAGGACACTAAACATAATATCATCCTAACTACCAGGATGCAGAACTAACAAATGAATAAGCATAATACCATCCTAACTACTAGGATGCAAATATAATAAATCATTAAGCATATCAAGCAAGTACCAGTATACAATCCGAAAAATGGACGACCTTGGTGCCTTAGACCCTGTTGCTATAGTGAGGATAACTCACTTCCCACTGCCGATCTGAACTGAAGAGTCAAACTCCCAAATTGCTGCCTCACCAAAAATCCCGAACAACTAATCTCTCGACTCCTAAAGCTATGAATATTAGAATATCACTTAGTTCAAAACAATAATCCTCCTTAGGGTAAAATGACCATTTTACCCCCAATCCAACTTAGTCTATATCTAAGGCTCAAAATCATAATATAATAAGCCCAACACTGGATGGGCTTCCCAAACCCACTAGTGGCCCACTAATGGCCCAATATTCTAAATTAGGCCCAATCCCTCTTATGGGCCTTACCCTAAGCCCAAAAATCTTCTTGGACCACATTATCTGGCTCTTGATGGACCACTAAGGCCCAAAGGACCAAAACCCTCCTATATGGCACAAACCGAGACCCAAAATCTATATGGCCCATAACTGATGAGTACGTTGGGGGTACTCCTATGTACGCTAAGCTTACTAGACAAATGGTGCATACGTTGGGCGTACATGCTTGTACGCTCCGCGTACTCCCCTGTTAAGTCATTTTCCCATTAAGTGCTTAATACTCAGATTCAGGAGCTACAATCACAAATCCAAGTCCTTTCCAACGTCTTAATCCATAAAGTAACTCACTTAGTGACTTCGCATGCCCCAAACAAGTCCAAACTTTAAAAATGATATTCTACTTCCATGAAAGTGGTCTTAACTCTAGCATGAACCCATTAAGACCACCAAGATGACAACTTTCTATCATGGGGATTCATTTAGCACTAAGGGTGGCAACCCTTAGCGTAGAAGCTAGATTTGGACTAAAAAGCTTCAACCTTTGAACCAAAATGACTTCAAAACTAAACCACACTAGATCTAAGCACTCTTAGATAAAGTTCATAGCTTTATACCTCTAAGTGATCTGAAATGGAACCCCAAACTCGGATCTACTGCTTCCCCTTTGATCCACCACCTTGTTATACTCTTCACTTGCTTGGAAATGGCTTCACAATCACAAAAATGCTCTTTAATGACCTCCAAAGCTCCAAGAACACTCAAGGGAGGGTTAGGGTTATGTGGTGGTTGTATGAAGATGAGAGGGCGACTGATAATTGGGATGCTATGTTCTTTATATAACAGCATGCTCTTAAAAATTAGGGTTTAGGGTCTCTGAGAGTACGCTGGGCGTACTCCTCCCCATACCCACGATCATTTTACTCCACTATGCTGGGTGTACACCAGCGTACATTGGGCGTACCCATCTGGACACGTGCATGCTTCCCTTGCATGCATGGGACTTTCTTGCTAAACATTTCCATTAGGGACCATTTATGCCAAATGCTTTAAAGTTCTATAACTTCTTCATTCTAAGTCCGTTTCTGACGCACTTTATATCCACGAAAAGGTGGCGAGAAGCCCTACGCTCTTGACCACACACACAAGCATTAAACCTTCTGAATAAATCTTGGGACCCTAAAAGACCGAATTGCTTATACACTAGACCTTTGAGACTGTGAAAAAGTGCTTTTCAAAACGGGTTGTTACAAATATGGAAACAAAAGACATAAAATTTTAAACATAACATAAAATTTTATAACCACCAAGGATCTTCTTGAAAGTTATAGAAATATTTAAACACCAACCAAAGAAAGGATGAAGAAATAACAACCTTTGTATGTCTTTGGGTCCTATTGGGAGGCTTGGAAGTTGATGAAGAATGTGGAACCTTTGAGAGACCAACAATGACTCAACTTGATGTAGATGATAATCCGCAAACTCTTAAACCCTGAAGCTTTAAGTTCATAACCAATATGAACTTAAAGAGAGCATGAAGATGCAAGTAACTTCAAAAAAAAGATGAAGAAAAGAGATAGATAGATAGATAGATAGATAGATAGATAGATAGATAGATAGATAGATAGATAGATAGATAGATAGATAGATAGAGAGATAGATAGATAGATACATAGATAGATAGATAGATAGATAGATAGATAGATAGATAGATAGATAGATAGATAGATAGATAGATTGATAGATAGAT